GACCAACAGAGCTCTCTCATAGTTGTTATTTTTAACTGCCAAAAAGTCATAGACAAGTCGTAGCGAACCTATGAACAAAAGAGCCTGAACACTTGTATAACTTTAATCATTTCTACAAGTTCATAGTTTCCTGAGACAAGCTATTCCAGAAGTGGAAGCCACTTCTGCTTCCAAGCTTGTTTTAACTGGGAAGCTCCGGATAAAGGATAGTTGGATTTAAAAATAGGATATTATGAGAACATTTAATACCATAAATTGGTATCAATCTTTAGGGTCAATCTTTTCATTTTCTTTTTAAAGGAGTATTTACCTTTCACTTCTCAAATGTGTTTTTATGAACATTTTTGTCTGTATTGCATATTACCACCTATTCTTCCAGTTAGCATGTAATAATCACTGGCTCATTATAAAATGTTTTATTGTTTAAAACAGGTAAGTGTCATTACAATGCTATAATCAGCCTTGTCGATACTAAAATTAGCTGGATCAAAAAATAAAAAAATAGTAAAATTGAAAATAGGCTTTTAAAAAGAGCTCATGGTAGAGGAGATAATATTACTGTTGATGTCAGGACATTGTGGTCTATGATTAAACTTGTTTTAGAGCCTTTACAAGTTCCTAGTAGTAAATATTTTGAATCAAAAGAGAAGAAAAAGGATAATGGACGATATGAAAACCCTGATCATTTCTATCCTTTCCTTTCACTTCCATTATCTCCTCCTTTCCTCTTCCTATTCCTAAGTGCTCTACGTCATTATATCCATCATTAATTCAATAAAATGTAGAAAGAAGATTCTGATTTCACTATAGATACTGATATTGAAGAGGAGGATAAACATTTACATCATATTTGATAATAATGATAAATTTCCTGAAATTCGCCCAGGACTTGAGGTATACTTCACTAAAGGAGAATGAAAGGAAAGAAACCTACTCCTAGTAATCCATATCCGAGTCCTGTTAAGTTTACTGCTCCATCAGTTCCTACATAACCTGGTCCTTTTAAACCACCACCAGGTTCTAAAATTAAAAAAGGAATTTTACAAACTTGGGCTGAAGGGGATATAAATGGATTTATGTTTCCTGTGATGATTAGATAAGGTGATAGTACTGGAGTAGTTCATGCTAGTGTGTTCCTGGCCCTTTTACATTCTTAAAAGAATTAAAAAGGGCACTTGCAAATTAAGGATTTCAAGCTGCCTACGCATTTGTAATAACCAAAAGTCTAGTGGAAGGTGAAAGACTAATTCCTAATGACTAGCATACTCTTACACAAGTTGTTTTATCACCTGGTGATTAACTACAATTCAAAACTTGTAGAAAGAAGGGGCTGAGGCTCAGGCCAGAATAAATGATTAAAGACAAAGAAGCATTTCCTATGAGCGATTGACTGGGAATTGGAGTAGAGAGACAGATGTGGTCAGAGGATGAAGCTATATTACAGCTTTGGAATATATGTTTGTAGGTTTGGGAAATGATTTCTCCTGCAGGCATCACTAAGCCTTTCAATCATGTATGGTAGAAGCCTCAGGAAACTTATCCTGATTTTGTTGCTAGACTTTCTGAGGCAGCGAAAAGATCCCTGGCCGGGCCTAAAGATCAACAAACAATTATTAGAAGTTCAGTATTAAAAAAAGAATGCCAATATTGATTGTAAAACTTTAATCAGACCTCTTAAAGACCAAGGTAATATTTTGGATTATATTAAATTATGCAGGTGTGTTGGATTGGAGACACATAAATCTACCCTGTTTAGCCCAAGCTTTTGCAAATACGCAAATAATAATTTAAAAAGCAAAGGATATGGGAATGCAACCAAAATAAGAAAAACTTCTTTATTTAAAAGCTCATACTCAATAAGCATAGTAATAGAGTAAAAGCAAATATCTAAATAAATTGGAAACTGTTGGTGAGGAATTTCTAAAAAGTAAAATCTCTAAATTAGTTTTAAAAATAACTAAAAATAGACTGTATTTGGGAGTCGTTATGCTGGCTAGGCTGTTTAACTTTGGTAGCCAAAATGCCAGAATTAAACACAAAAAGCTGTCTTTAACTGCCGCATAGACAATGCGACCTAGGAGTTTGGGAATAGATAAGAGAGAAAATGGAATTTAGTTACAAGGGTGGGTATAAGAAACAAGGATTATAATAAAATATGTGACAGAAGTTGAGTGCTGTTAATTAATTGCCTGTCAAATCCAGAAAGTTGAACTTGTTAATGTTCCAGGAAAGCAAGCAGGTTTTCCTACCTATCAATGCAATATTCACTGTGGTGGGTAGAAGCCTCCAGGAACAGGCACAGGCTGGGCAAAGGCCCACAGAAGAGAACAGTCACTGATAATTGGGAGCTCAGTCCCAAAACTTCCTTTGAATCCTTTGTTTTCCAGAATGTTTATAGAACAACTTCCAGCATCAGTTAAACACTTCACTAAGATTGCTTGTGCAAAAATTACAAAGATCTAATTCTAAAATGAAATACTCTGAGGAAATGATTCGGAGGTCTAGACAGGCCCTGAATTGCAACATTATAATGCAGCTTGTTTTATTTTATCTGGGAAAGAGCAAATAGCATCAAGTACCTTACATACAAGCATTTGTAGTTTCAAGAGGGAGTTATAAAGACAAACTTGGAAGTTTTCCCTCAAGGTTTCTACAGATGTATTGAGAAATTTCAAAATGTGACAACTATTGTTGATTTAACAGAGAAAGATCTGAAAATTTGGTTATCTTTTTGCTGTGCTTCTATGAGAAGCACAGACTTATTAGTGCTGATAGACACAGGGCTGATAATATGCATAGTATAAACCCAAATCTAGCAGATAGAAATAAAACAGTCCCCAAGATGTACCCACTTAAGGGTTATCAATTAGTAAGAAAAGTTAGAACAGAAAAACAGGTGGCTAGAAATTACCTGCTTGCTTATCTCACGGAGGAAATGAAAAATATTTGATTGAGTCCTATAAACTATTTTAAGTTAATAAAAAAGAAGAAAAAATTTAAAAAAAGAAAAAACACCAGAGCAAAGATGTTTATAGTAACAATCATTATCCTAAACAAAAATCATAGAACTTTTTCTATAAAGGTAATTTCTTGGTTTATAGATGCAACACAGAAGAGTCGGTTCTGAGTCTACCATACAAAGCAAAAGCAACTATATTACAAGAACAAACCACGTACACTTCTGCTTGACAACATGCCACTACTACACACCACTCTAATGTTGCTAAAAGACATATCTGCTGTTCCTATCAATATAGTTGCAAATTCTTTATATGAAGTTTATGAGTTAAAAATAGTAGCTATTTCAAAAACAAAATTAGTGCAAGAAGCTTTACTGCAATCCCAGAGGAACACGGTTCGAATCCACCAGATGCTCTGCCTGAGAAGGAGGAGCAATATCCTCCTGTACCAGTCAGATCTGATTTGACGGTACACGCACACAAAATAATAAAAATTGGAAAAAAATATTAAAAAAATAAAAAAACAAAATTAGTAAAAAATAAGTAAAAATTTCTACTATATACCATTTATTGATTCAGTTATAAAATGTATTACAGCAACAAGAATACCCATGGTTTATTACTCGTATCCATTCTCACTCCTCCCTTCCTGGTCCTCTTATGCAAAGAAATAATGAAGTTAATAAATCAGTTAATCTTTCGTCAATTTATTTAGAATGTGCGGTTTAAGATCATAAAACTGCCTTCATAACCATACAGCTTCATTTAAAAAAAAAGTATCAGTTAACTTGAAAACAAGTGAGGAAAATAATTCAACAATGTGAAACTTATTATCCACCTAATTTAAAATATGTCCCTGTACAGGCTAATCCTCAGAGACAATTTCCAAATCAATTATGGCAAACAGATATTACTTATATTTCATCTTTTACCAAGCTTTCTTTTGATATGTAACTGTAGGTACTTATTCTGGGATTATATGAACTGCAACTTTTCCTGGGGAAAGCTCTATGTGTGTTAAGTAAATTTTTAAACATATTTTTGCAGTAATAGGCATTCCAGAAAGTGTAAAAACTGATAATGGACCAAGATATAAATCTAAACATTTACATGATTTTTTAAAAGACTTGGATAGTGTACATATATTTGAGATTCCTTATAATTCCCAAGGACAAGCTATCATTGAAAGAATACATTATACTTTTAAAACTCAGTTACAAAAACAAAAGGAATTGAAGGACTGCTTCCCTCAAGATGGAACAATTGCTATAATTTTACAAAAAATTCCAGAGCAGTGTTACATTTTTATTGAAAAACTTTACAAAAGCCTATTAATTAAAAAGTATGGTAGAAAACAGAGAATGGACAATGAGCAAAAAACATATTACTAACCAATGACAGAAGATACGATCATATTTGCACAAGCAAGAAAGTGAGCGACCCTTTTGTATTCCTTCCTGGAGAGTTAGAAAAACCTTTGAAGATGGACCATTGCCTCTCACTCCCAGTGGGAAGAGACAAATTATTGTGGTTCAGAGGGTTTAATGTACATTAAAGGAGCTCCTTTAAAGCAAATAAAGGAGTTAATATTTTAAAAAAAAAAAGGCCTTGCAACAAACTATATGCGGGTCATGATTCTAAGCTCAAGATCTCTTGGTATTCACTTGGAAAATTAGAAAGCTATGACAAGCAAGGCCCAATTTTACTTCAGCAGCAGGAAAAACCAACAATGTATCTACTTTTCCTCACCCTGTGTGCTGTAATTAGTCCTAACAAGTTGGAAGCAACTTGCAACCAGCTCCCAGTGTACTTTTACAGGCAGCAAATTGCACAGGAGGTTGTCTATCACTCTGAGGGAGTAGCTGGTAGGTTAACTTCATGCCTTTGAAAGGCAGTACAGCTCCCTACCACTAAACCACCAGAGTTCTCTGCATGAAATAATCCCTGGGGAAACTGTCAGATGCAGAATACCTACATCACTACAGGAAACAAGCCTGTAACCCACATCTGCACCTGCTCCTGGATCAGAATCCTTTGCTCTCAGCACCCACAGAGAAGTTTTTGTCTGGGTTCATGCTGGCTTCCCCTCACTGTGTCTGCTGTACAATAATAGATGGCTGTATCCTCTGTTTTCAGACTGTTCATCTGCAGATACACCATGTTCTTGGCGTTGTCTCTGGAGATGGTGAATCGGCCCTTCACAGAATCTGCATAGCTTATACCACTAAAAATATTAATATGTGAGACCCATTCCAGCTCTTTTCCTGGGGCTTGGCGAACCCAGTTCATGGCATAGCTACTGAAGGTGAACCCAGAGGTTGCGCAGGAGAGCTTCAGAGACCCCCCAGGCTGCCTCAGGTCTCCCCCAGACTCCACCAGTTGCACCTCACACTGGAAACCTGCAAACACAATGACATTCTGGTCAGGGAAATCGTTACACATGTGCATTTTTTTCAGTCATATCCACTCACATACATTTGCTCTCTACAGTTACCTTTTAAAATTGCAACAAGAAAAATCCAGCTAAGTAGAGACATAGTGACTTGTCTGTGTTCAGCCCTGGTTCTGAGTGAGGACAGTGGAGATTCTGTGCCTCCTCTCCCAGAGCTGCAGGGTTGGGGCTGGGCTGGTTTTCATTACCAAGAGACAGAGCCCTATTTGCATGAGCTCCTCCTGCATTTTAGCAAGATATGGAGTTAAGTGGCTCTGTGTGACCATAGCCCAGAGCAGGCAGGACTGTTTTAGGGCTGTTTGGAGCACTAAGGATAACATTTTGGGGGGGAAATGTTTCTTACTTTATTTTTTTTATTGCCATTTGAGTGAAATTTTTCAGAGCATGTTTATTTTCCATTCAACATTTTTTCGACATTTTTGTGACATTGATTAAAATCTCCTCTTGTATCTGAGAACTTCTCATTTTCTCCTTGTTTCTGGATTGTATTCATCGTTCTATCTTCTCCTTCCCTGCCTTCTGCACTTTATCTCTCAGTAAGTCCTACTGTTTTTTATCTTTTATGATACTGTTTTAAGAGTGAGAATTTCCTTGTTATTATTGTTTGGGTGAAAGTTGATACATACGGGTGAGTTCAGAGGGAGGTGAAAGGACTATGGTAAGGTCACTGGATATATCATGATCCCCTTGTCTCTATCAGCCAAGTAAGTGTGGGCACTTTTGTGGTTTTGAGCTTTGGTCCACTTTTGTCCCACACTCTGTCCAATATGTTCTAACATGATCCTTTTCAAACCGTGAGCAGTGGTGGACAGGTGTCATCTATTTGTTTTGGTCTCATGATTACAGAACATGGAGTTATTGTGTGCTCTACCACTGTTAATGGAGTAATTATTTAGTTGCAACAATCATTTTCTTCATTGTTCTTTATTCAAGACAGATAGAGGCCTTTAGTCACATCTTAGATCGCCACTAGAAAGTTTCTAAGATCCCTGTTAAGACTCACCAATACAGGAAGTAGAAAATCTCCATAGACTCTGACTCTGAGAATTGAAGCTCATTTCCTTCTGGTGTTTGGTTAAGAAATTTACATTAGGTTGTCCCCTGGTCTCTCTAATACAGGTTTAGATACATTTTCTTGTAAAAAATACTTTAAAATTATTGGTTTTTAATTCATCAATGCACATTTTCTTTCTTCCCCCAGCCCATGCAACAACATACCCTCCATCCTATTTAAGATTACTGTCAAACATATGATACCCGATGACACATTCCTTTTAAACAGTTCTTCCCCTCATCTTTTCTAATGCAGTGTTCATTATCTATCCCCTCTATTCTCATTTTCTCCCCAATCCTTCATGGCTGTCCTACTTCATAACAGCAGTCTTACAAAGCTTTTGTCCTTTTTTGATTGAGATAGTGCATTCAACATAGCTAGCTTATTGATTTTTCAATGTTGCATAATATTTTGTTTTGTGAATATATCTTAATTTTCCTATCCATTAGTTTGTTGATGGGTATTGGGTGGGTTCCATCTCTTTGCTACTGTCTATTATGCAACAGTAAGCATAAGTGTGTTTACATCTATTTGAGTTTTGTTTCTGGTTTCTTTACGGTATATTCCTAGTAAAGGAATTGCTGGATCAAATGGTATTTCTCTTTCCAAATTTTTGAGGAAGTACCAGACTGCCTTCCACAGTGGCTGTGCCATTTTACTTTCTCTCCAGCAGTGATTAAGGTCCTAATCTCTCCATATTATTACCACTTGCATTTGGTTTTTGCTGCCATGTTGAAATTTACTATTATTGCTAGTGTGAAATGAGAGTTCAAAGTTGTTTTGATTCGCATCTCTCTGAACATTAGAATTTTGAATATTTCATCGTATGTTTGCTTGCCATTTGAATATCTTCTTTGGTGAAGTGTTTCTAATCCTATCCTGTGCCCATTCCATGATGATATGTTTTACCTTTATATTGTTGAGGTACTGGAGTATTCTATAAATTTTAGATATATAATCATATATGTTATTGTCATATTTTATCTCAGCATGTGGGTTTCCTTCTCACCCTGTTGGAGAAGATTTTAGATGTGCATTAGGATTTGGTTTGTAGAAGGTCCCGTCATCTATTTTAGTCTCTGCTTGTTGTAGGTTTTCGTTATGCTTGGAAGACTCTTCATGCTGTGGAATAGAGATTCTTGAGTTGTTCCTAGTTTTTGTCTGATCAATTTTATGTTGTAGTTCTTATGTGCCATTGAGTTGCTGACGAATCATAGCGACCTTATGTACAACAGCTCTAAACCCTGTTCTGTCTCTTGTCAATCTTATTATATCTAACACACCTAACCACATTACCCCAGTCATAGAATCTCTCCATCTTCTCGAGAGTCTTCCTCTCCTGCCCTGTCCATCCACCTTCACAGGAATGACGTCCCTCTCCAGGGACTGATCCTGCCTTGCAACATGTCCAAAGTATGTCAGACTGAGCTTCAGAATCCTTGCCTTCAAGGAGCAGCCTGGCTTCACTCTCTCCAGGATGAACTTGTTTGTTTTCCTAGCAGTAGACAGTATATTCAATACTCTTCCAGGACTAAAGCCCAAAGACATCAACTCTCCTTCTGTCATCCCTAGTCATTGTCCAGCTCTCTGATGTATAGCAAGCAATGACAAAGACCATGGCATGTATCAGGCACACCTTAGTCAACAGACTGTGTTGTTCCTCAGCACCTTGGAGAAGTCTCTAACAGTAGACTTTTCCAATGCAATTCACCTTTTAATTTCCTGGCTGCTTGTACCAAGTGTGCTGATAATAGAGACAAACAAACTTAAGCTATCAAAAATCTCAATCTCTTCACCATCTATTATGATGCTGCCAATCGGCCCAGTGGTGAGAATCATTTTTTTCTTGATGTTGAGCTTCAATCCATATTGAAGGCTGCAGTATTGTCCTTCTGCAGCAAGCGCTACAGGTCCTCTTCAGTTTCAGCAAGCATGGTTGTGTCATCTGCTTATTGCAGATTGTTGATAAGTCTACTTCCAATCTTGATGCCACCACACTTCTCATACAGCCCAAACCCTTGGGTAATCTGTTCTACATATAGATTGAAAACATATGAACATAGGACACATCCTTGACAAACATCCTTCCCAATTTTGAAACACGGAGTGTTTCCTTGCTCTGTTCTGACAATTGTCTCCTGGTCCAAGTATAAGTTTCGCATAAGCACAACCAAGTGTTGTGAGATTCCCATTCTTCTCTGAGTCAGCCACAGTTTGTTGGGATCCACACAGTCAAATGCTTTTGCATAGTCAGTGAAACACAGATAGACATTTCTCTGGTACTCTCTGTTTCAGCTAAGATCCGTCTGATATTAGCTATATCTCTTATGACCTCTTATAAACCCAGCCTGCACTTCAGGCAGTTCTCTGTTGATGGCGCTGTTCCAGTCGTTTTTGGCTAATCTTCAGCAAAATCTTGCTTGCATGTGACATCAGTGACACTGTTCAAAAATTTCCACACTCTGTCAGATCACCTTTCTGTGGAATGGGAACAAATATAGGTATCTTCAAGTCAGTAGGCAATATGGTTGTCCTCAAAATTTCTTGGTACAACTTGGTGAGCATAACCAGGGCAGCATCTGTTTGTTGAAATATGTCAGTCAATATGCCATCAATTCATGGGGCCTTGTGTTTTGCTAATTCTTTTATAGTAACTTGAACTGCCTCCTTCATCACCACAGACTCTTGTTCATATGTTGTTTCATGAAATTCTTCTGGGTCCACCAATTCCTTTTGACACAATAACTCTATATACTCTTTCTCTTTTCATTTAATGCCTCCTGTATCATTTAATATTCTGCCTAAATCATCCTTAAGTATTGCAACTTGAGGTTTGAATTTATTCTTCAGTTCTGTCAGTTTGAGAAATGCTAAGTGAGTTCAGCTGTTTTGATTTTCTGACTCCAGCTCCTTGCACATTTCATTATAATACTTGGTCATCCCTTGTTGCCGTCTGAAATCTTCAGTTCACTTCCTTAATATCTTGATTTCTTCACTTTGCTCTGCTTCTTGGTGCTGTAGTGCAGTATTCAGAGACTCTTCTGACATCCATCTTGGTCTTTTCTTCCTTCTTTGCCTTTGTAATGACCCTTTGCATTCTTACTGGATGATATTCTTGATATCCTCCCTAGCTCATCCAGTCTTCTTTCATTAATGTTCCTGAGATGGTTTTGAAATTCAGGTGTGACAGATTCAAAGTCAAATTTTGGCTCCTGTGGACTTTATTTAATTTTCTTAGCTTCCAGTTGAACTTGCTTATGCGTAGTTGATGGTCTGTTTCACAGTCAGCCCTTGGCCTAATTTTCACAACTGATACTGAGATTCTCCAGCGATTCTTTACACAAATGTAGTTTGATCTGATTCTTATGCATACTACCAGGTTAAATCCATGTGTATAGCCTGCATTTGTGTTCCTTATAAAATGTATTCACAATGAATAAGTTGTTAATAGTCATTTGTTTTACTTCTGTGTCCTCAACTGACCTTTGATTCTTATTGTGTGTGTGTGTATGATGTAAGGCGTTTTTCTTGCTTAAATTTTCTGCAGATGGTTTTCCGATTTTGCCAACACCATTTGCTAAAGAGATGATCATTTCCCCACTTAACTGATTTAGTCTGCTTGTAAAAAAGCAATTGATCATAGGTAGATGAGTAGGTTTCTGGGTTCTCAATTCTATTCCATTGATCTCTGTGTCTGTCTGTAATAGTATCTGCTGTCTTGACCAACACGGCTGTGTAGTAGGATTTGAAATCAGGGAATGTGATGCCTCTTGCTTTGTTTATTTTCCTCAATAGTTTTTTTTTTCTTATTTATGGTGTCTTTTCATTCTAGCTTTTCCCATCTCTTTGAGCAATAGAATTGGTATCTGTTTTGGGATTGCATTGAACCTATAGAATGAATGCTTTTTAAAGTATTGTCATTTTCATGATATTGAGTCTTCCTATCCATGAGCATGGTATATTCTTCCATTTCTCCAGGGCTCTTTTTGTTTTTTGTAGTAATGTTTTGTAATTACCTTTGTACAGGTCATCTGTATCTCTAA